ACACCTCTGATACCATTCTGTTGGGGAGGACACGCCTGACTAGCTGAAAAAAGCTAGCTCTTTTTGGCCAACTGGCTAGCTCAAAGCAAAAGTAGCTAGCTATATCAGAGAAACCGGCTAGTTCAAACTAGAAACAGCTAGCTAACTAACAGACAAAATGATTATAGCAGCAAACGAGCTAGCTATATCCCACAATCCGGCTAGCTGTTTTACAAACAAAATGGTTATAGTACAACAAGCTAGCTATATCTCGAAAACCAGCTAGCTCAATCACAAACAGAATGGTAATAGCAGCAACAAACTAGCTGTATCCATAAATCCGGCTAGCTAAATTACAGCGGAAGAACCAAACACCTCCCCGATTTGCAAAGACACCCCAGGAGCATAAAATACCAAAACCAAATCTAAGTATTGCAGCAACAAAATAACAATCAAAGCAAAACCACACAAGAACACAAGGATTTACGTGGAAAACCCCCTTCGATGTGAAGGAGTAAAAATCACGATACCAAAAGTAGGGCTGGCAATTCGTGTCGGGTTCGGGTTATCAGGTCGGGTCGAACCCGAACCCAAACAAATTATAGTCAACCTGAACCCGACCTGTTTAATTATACAGGTCAATATTCGCAACCCTAACCCGACCTTTTATAAACCAGGTCGGGTCGACCTGTTTAACCCGAAAAAAATTTATTCAGAAAAATTGCAAAACAGAAACGAAGAGCAGAGAACTGAGCCTTAAACAACTGTGGTAATAATAATAATAGATCCATTCATCATCCGTGAATGCTCAAACATAACTAATTGCCAATTGCCAACTAACAAATTTACAATTCAAGAAAAAATAAGACAAAAGCCAACAAGGGATTAATCCCAGATCCATCACCGATGCACACACAGACCACCGCCGCCACGATTCTGTTTTTCTAAAGACCCACAAGTGGCCAAACCTAAATAATTTTCAGACTAATACAAATGAATTAACCAAAAAGTACAAAGGAAATAGAAAACAATAGGAAAATAGATGGAAGATGATGACTAATTAGAATCGAGTTAACGATTCAGTAGAAATAGCCAGGACTTGAGCAGCAGAAGTGGGCAGCCGTTGATACGAGGTTGATGATTGATGATCGGGGAACACCGTGAAGATGACACAAAGAAGAAGGAGGAGGAGGAGACCGCCGTGTAGAACTGAAGATGATGATTGATGAGCGGGGATTGGGGAACACCAATTTGTGAAGTTGGAGAAAATCGGAGCCGCCGCGATGGCGAAAGCAGAAACCCTAGAGGGAAATAGAAATTTGTGTCGGATGAAGAATAAGGAGTATATATATGACTTGAAATTAGGGTTGGGTTGGGAGCAAAATTTCCAAATTACCCCTACAGTATACATAATTTACATGTTCGCGGGTAACTCGGGTAACCCGCTGGGCTGACCCTAACCCGACCCGTATATTAAGCAGGTTCAAATTTTCAATCCTAACCCGACCTGTTTATTATGCGTGTCGGGTTCGTGTCGGGTTATTTCGTGTCGGGTTCGTGTTGAAATTCCGAGTCGTGTCAGAGATTGCCAGCTCTAACCAAAAGGCCTATCAAATTCACTATCACTAAATGAGAGTTGAGTACAAAGACTTCCAGCAATACAATGATATCTAATCCTTAACCAAACTAAACCAACCTACAAAATGCACTAGAATATCAATACAAGATCAAAAGATCAACTAAACTACAGCAATGTACAGAAATCTATAACTCCCAACCTGGATATCGAAAATCAAAACCTTTCTGCAGAGATGAAGAATGATGAGCCTTCTAACTCCAGTAAAAATTTCAGAGCAATCCGACTCCGTTTGCCCCTCCAATTGACAAGAAATCAGAACCAGTTACAGTAAACCCTTGCTGAAAATTTCTTCACCTTTACTGCCCATATTTTTGCAGTTAAACTCACTTCTCTCTCACTTTTGCACTTTCCAACTGCAAACCTTGCCCCTTTAAGTGGACAAAAATGGGCCAAAAATATTTCTCAATTGGGCTTTTCTCCACATATGTTGGGAGCCCAATAATCCCAACAAATACAACTCAAAGATGTTTGAATTATGAAGGAAACAATGTAATGATCATCACAAATTTGTTATATTATTATAAAAACTAATTTTGTGATCTTAATAAAAATCATTAGAAACTTTGTAGGAAATATTTTATTCACATTACAAAATTAGTATATTTGTCCATTGCAGATAGAGCTAAAAGAATCAATCATTGACTATCCTTTTCAGTTTTGTGGTAATAATAGACTAGGTCAAAGTGGTTCAATCGAATTCCGCTACTTCTTAGTTTTGGTAAAGTTGTTAGAAATCAAAACATCTTTTTTTTTAGGAAGAAATACACCAATGCATATTGGATGGAACTTAAACAACCTCTTTCATAAAAATACATGTGTAAGACTACCCTTAGAGACCCAACGAAGTTGGAATATCAAATATGATGTTGAACAAAATTAGTAGTACATATGAGTCTGTATCCAGTATACTCGAGAGCACCATGCTCTCGCCCTCTTATTTTTTGCACATGTAGTCCTTATTGTACTTTTCTTCAATATTCTTATATTTTGCAAGTTTAGTCCCTGTCATTTTTTTTTCTCTCCTCCAAAAAATATTTCTAATCTTTAAATAAGTATATCTCCCAATCTGTGAAAAAATTTGTGAACGAATTGTATATGAAATTTATAATACTCGTCGAGATCTATCAAACAAGATCCATATCAATTTTTTTTTGGTCTTAAAAATGATTAAATTCTGATGGACAGAATAAAGGTGGATATCCAGTTTTACAAGATGGATAACCAAGTTACTTTAAATTGGTTATCCATTGTGTTCATGTTGATTATCAACCAGTTTGAACTGATTATCCATTTTGTTTGTACTGCTTATCCATTCATTTTTATACATATCCAACTTGTTTGTAATGGATATCCCATTTGTTTGTACTGGATATTAATTTGGTTTGCATTGGATATCTAACTTATTTGTACTAGATATCTATCCATTTGGTTTGTATGCCTATTCAACTTGTTTTGTAGTTGTAATCCAACGGGTTTGTATGGATAGCCAACTTGTTTATACTAGATATTTATCCAACTTGTTTGTACTGGATATCCATCCATTTGGTTTGTATGCCTATCCAACTTTTGTGTATTGGTTATCCAGCAGATTTATATGCTTATCCAAATTGTTTGTACTGGTTATCCAATCATTTTTTTTTTGTTTAGAAAAAATCAATGTCTAAGACGCTAATACTGGTTATCCATTTTGTTATACCGCTTACCCAATCATTTTTTTTCTTTGAAACACGGTTATCCAATGTGTTCGTAGTGATTATCCCATCGTTTTGTATCGGTTATCCAATTATTTTTACTGCTTGTCTAAATAAGTTTATATTATTTGTCCGATCATTTTTTTTTCTTTTGAGAAAATACTTGTCCAATTAATGTGTTCGTACTGATTATCCAACCCGTGCTATTGTTTCTCCGGCTATTCTTTTTTTACTTTTATGAAAAAATACTTGTCCAATATGTTTATACTTATTATCCAACTAATTGGTACTGCTTATTCAACCTAATTTTTTCTTAAAATGGTTATCCATTGTGTTCATACTGATTATCCGACCGGTTTGAACTGATTATCCATTTCGTTTGTACTGGTTATCCAATCTTTTTTTTTACATGGAAAATCATCGCCCAATGTGTTGATACTGATTATCCAACTAATTAGTTTTGCTTATCCAACCTAGTTTTTCTTTTTATTATTTTTTTTGAAAAAAAATGATTGTCCAGCGCGTTCATATTGATTATCCAACTGTTTGGTATAGATTATTCGACCATTTTTTTCTCTATTATTTACAAAAATCCTTGTCCAATTTTTTGTACTGACTATCCAACCGTTTTGTATTAGTTATTCAATCATTTTCGCTGATTATCCAAACAGAATTTCTTTTCTTTTTTTTTTTTTTGCTTTTGAAAAAATATATGTCCAATGTGTTCATACTGATTATCCATTTGCCTTCTTGATAATGGTTATCCAACCTTTTTTTTCATTGCTCTTTCATGAAAATGATTGTCCAATTCTTTTATATTGATTATCCAACCAGTTTGTACTACTTATCCAATTATTTTCAATGATTATCCAAATAGTTTGTAATATTTATCCAATCATTTTTTTTACTTTATTTTCTAAAAAAATGATTTTCCAACGTCTTTGTACTAGTTATCCAACACAAATAATTTCTTCGTTTCTACCTGGAGTATTTTAATATTTTTATTTTCTAAAATTAATATTCAACATTGATCTTATCAAATAGATCTCGTCGAGCACTATAAGTTTCATATATAATTTGATTTGTAATTCCTTACGGATTGAGAAATATAAATTTTACAAGAATATCAATATAAAATAAGCTGACTATTCATCTTTTTTAACTGGATATCCATCCAAATGAAGGTACAAATTTCTTTTTTCTGCCCATCAAAATTTAGTCATTTTTAAGTCCGAAAAAAATATTCCATATGGATCTCGTTGCATAGATCTCGATGAGTACTATAAATTTCATATGTAATTCATTCACAAATTATTCACGGATTGGGAGATATGCTTGTTTGAAGATTATAGATTTTTTTTTAGAGGAGAGAGCAAAAAATGGAAGGGACTAAAATTACAAATTATAAAAATATTAAGAAAAAACATACAATAAAAACTAGTATTGCAAAAAATAAGAAGGGGAATACATGCTCCGGATATACTGAATAAATTACCGTACATATATCTAAAACTTGTAACTAAAAGGCCACCGTAATAAAAACAGTGTACATTTGCGGAAGCCCGCTAATCTCTCTGGCTCCTTTGTAGTAAAATTTTAATACCTTTTCGGTGGTCAAATCGATATTGACTAGACTAAATTGACTCCCCCTTTTACATTATTGTTAGAAAATTATCGATGGTGACATCCAAAAGAACTATGAACATTACAATAGTGATGATCAAATTACATGGAAGTGATAGAGATATATGTGTTGCATTTAACTATTAATTATAATGTGATACTGATTATCCTGATTATTATATGATCAGAGGGAATGTGTAAATGTCTAACTAAAACATCACATGAACAGGGACAATTTAAAATTACCAATCTGTAACTAAGTAATGGTAAATGGCAATATTGGCCTGCATCGGGATGATAGGATACAATTAGAAAATAGGATACGGGCAAAACCTCCTCCATGCTTAGGAAAGTTAATGCCACAAAAAGATAAGAAAATAGTAGTTAACATAGAACCTTTTTGTATTTATCTATTTTTTTGGAAATGGAACATAAAACCATTGAACATGAAGAAGTTCTACATCCTAAAAATGTATTCATCTCTAAAGAATTTTCCTGCTGAGCATTTTCTCTATAGTCTAAAAACTCCCTGTTTCACAAGGCAGAAGGCAGTCACTTGGCCAGGCTATATATTTGTCACCATCATCGATACCTCTGTTCTCCAGAATAGGTGGGATAAATAGTAATAGGCTTGCGAGAAACAAACAAGGGATTAGGCATATTGAAATTGATACTGAATCGGGCACCAAAACGTTGTGATGTGTGATAGATCAATGTTGTCATGTTTTGTGTGGGTAAATATGGTTTGGATCAATCACCTACGGTAGGAAGTTAAGAAAAACACAAGGTATTTTCCGAGCAAAAAGAAAGAAAAAGGTATTTCAAATGTCCTTACTTTCATGTCTAATCTCACGAACCCTTCACCTCCCTTCGATTTACAAGAAAATGCTACTCACCGAACAATCATCATAAACTCGCCAAATTGTTTCACCCAAGAGATTTGCGACCGAAAGAACTGTTAGCTGGGGAAAATAATTTTTCTCCATTGCTGGGATTGTATTAGTGACAATAACTTCTTGAAACAAACCACTTGACAATCTCTCAACTGCTGGAGGGCTGAAAAGAAATAGTAATGGATCAAACGATCAGCTACATATTAAGTGATACTGAAAGATTTCATCGCAAATATACCCTTTGAGAGTACAGTACAAAAATTCACAATGGCAGAAAAGTGAAATCAGAATCTTCATAGGCACAAACAGACTGGCAAAACTTTTCTCATCATGTAAAAAACATGCATTTGCCTCAGGTAGACTTAAAACACAATCACTGCAATGTTCAGACTGCAAAATCTCCCACTAGATAAACATAAGAAAAAAAGGAAAAAAGGGGTTCTCATAGATTGTTTTAAGCTTGAGGAGAAGCAGATATGCTTCCTGCCATACGATGACGTGGTTGCTGCTTTTTGCAGGTTAATATCAATAGTGTTTATTTTGGAAGTAAACAGGCAAAGATGGTACATAAAAGTGCCATAGACAAGGTACAGCTTAAATAGACAACTTCAGAAATTTTTAAATGAAACAGGCTGGTAATAAAGAAACAGACTGCTAAAAGAGATGAAAACAGAAAAAATAAATAAATAGAATGGTAAAAATCACCTAAAAACTGCATGAGTACTGCATGCATATACTTCCCTGGCCCCCTCCTCATGCAGAAGGGCTGCACCTTTTGCAATGGTTCCTGAAATCAAACATTAGTTCACATATTAGTTTTGAAGGACTGCACGACTGAAAAGAGAAACTTGGATGGCAAATCAACTCTTATGATACAAGCTAGGAGTTCAAATACGGAAGATCTAAAAGCAACAACAATTTCTACTGATAGCGACTCAGCTCTCCGAGTTAATTTTTTAGACACCAAAGTACATATGATGCAACTCATTATTTTGCTTCCCAAGTCCATGAGAAGCATTTTCTATTGCGCTCCACTGGGCTGATCAACTGATCAACCAGAGACTTTGATCTTCATAAGTGTTCTTAAGGGATAACTAACCTGCTGTGTCAATCATGTCATCCACCATAACAGCAACCTTTCCTTTCACGTCTCCAATCAGATTCATGACCTGAAAAGGAAGGATATCCAAAAAATACTAGTAAAACACTTGTGATAGTAAAATTGTAGTAAAGGGGAAGAGGCAATTCAGCTGCCTTCCGTGCAAGGAATTGACGTAGCATATTGATTATTGCCCAAGGCCTTATAAATATCCAGCAAAGGGATGCAAGAGTTTAGAGATGCTACGATGGAAAGCCAAACAAGGATGACATTTTGCATTAGCAGAACAAGGTACTCAAAAACTAACATCTGACATGCTCTAAATTTGGTGCTATTGATCAATCACAAGTGTATTATTTGAAGTTAAGCAGAACTTACAGAAGACAGTTTTTTAGACAAAAGAAAACTTTAGACACCTAGGAAGTAAAACTACCTCAGCCACATTATGGCCGTGTCTCCTTTTATCAACAATGGCTAAAGGTGCGTCAGATAACTTTTTGGCAAAAGCACGAGCTCTAGCAACTCCTCCAACATCAGGCGAAACTACGACCAGATCACTGGTACTGATCTTCTTGCTAGCAAGATAGTCAAGAATAACAGGCTGTGGACAGAAAACAAAAGCTGCATAAGCATGGCACATTACATCTGCATAAACATTACTCGAGACTTCTGCTCCTACCTGACAATAAACATGATCCACTGGGATATCAAAATAACCCATGGACTGGCCAGAATGAAGATCACAAGCCAGTACACGATCTGCTCCAGCTTCTGTAATCAGGTTAGCAACCAGTTTGGCACCAATAGACTCCCGACCATGTGTCTGAAGAAAAAAGAGTTTAATAGAACAGTCAGCAAAAGTAGGCAGTGAAGCAAAGAAGCTCACTATACCCTCCCAGAAAAAAACAACCCCCCAACAGTTACACCCTCCTCCCCTCACATTTCAGCGGTGCCATTTTCCTACCAATTGTTTTCCCTCACATTGCACTATTTGTTCTTAAAACTCTTAGACAGTGATGAGGAGATGGAGAGCCACAAAGAACGAGCATGTAAACCAAAAACCTTTTCCAAACTCAGAGCGACTTACCTTCCTATCAGCTCTGGCATAGCCAAAATAAGGAATTACTGCAGTGATATTCTTAGCTGATGCCCTTCGACACGCATCAATCATCACTAAAAGCTCCATCAGGTTTTCATTGGCTGGAGGGCAGGTAGACTGCACTAAAAACACATCACAACCTCTGACACTCTCTTGCAATTGAACATAAATTTCACCATCAGCAAACCGCTTTATATTAATTTTTCCCAGGTTAAGGCCCATGTACCAAGCAATTTCCTGGAGAAAAGGTAGCACTTTGTTAGATAATTACTACACTGAGATATGACAACAACTTTTAAAATCAAACAAACATAAGCTTCATCCTTATGAAACTAAGATCACCCTTTCGAGATATAAAAAATTATTATCCATAGTTGCCCAGTAACTTTAAATTCTAAACTCTTGGACTACGTAGATCAGAGAGTGTACTCTTTATTTCAAATCTAGAGGAAAGGAGGAAACAAATTTCATTGAAACAATAGAATCGAGATACAGATAGATTGAAAGAAAAGTAACTAACTCTATAGAGGATAACTAACTGACATAATTGCAGCATTATGTTAAATAGGATGAAAACTCAAATCTTAGAGCAATTTATCGAACAATAAGTAAATGAGCCTTCTTTTCTTTCGATCAGGTTTTGCATAGCCAGAAACGCAAAACTAAAGATTCACTGACATGAGCAATCTCCTAAAAGTTAAAGCATGAGATAAAACAAATATTATCAGTTAGGTATGATACAAACCCATTAGCATAAAGTTAACAAGGAATAGGCACGAGCTTGTACACAGTTAAACACACATTACGGATTGAGAACATCAATGATCAGTTTCTCCAACTAGGGATGCAAAGCTTACCTGAGAAAGCACAGTATTTGCTGTGCCTGAAAATATCTTCAGCTTGGTTTCACTTTTTTTGACAGCACTCTCCAAGCGGCGAGATTGCAAGAATTTGGGAAGGATTTGATCATTGATGATTGGAACACAAGGCTTTCCATTCATTGGTTCAGCAATTTCACATTTCTAAGGCAGAGCACACAAAAAAATTAATTCAATCAGAAGAGGGAAAAGATAACAAAAGCATAATATCAAGTGTTCATAAAGATGAAATTATATCAAGCTCGGATTCATACCCAATTGAGAAAGTCTTTGATGTGATGTGATGTATTTAAAAAAAAAAACATAGGAGTTGACACTTCTCCCATAATACATCAAAATTGATGATTTTTACTACAGTAAAATTAATCAAGCAAACATTTTTTAAGAATACCAAGAAGTCAGGCAGCAACAGTACTTTCCCTTCTAAAGACAACATCCCAGAAAATCAAGAGAACCTCAGTCTTTCCCAAAATATGGAAGACCTCAAACAAAAGGAAAAAAAAAAGAAAAAAGAGAGAGATTAAGACATTGAAAACAAATTTCATATCAAACAAGCAATGCCCAAAAACCAAATACACAAACAAACACAAAACACACAGAAAGAACCAAAGGTGAGATTTTTATAACACCTTTACTAAACCAGCACTCAATACAGAGCCTAAACAGATGACAGCAAAAAAATAGAAAAATTCAAACTTGAAGGAGGAAACACCAAAATACAGAATTATAAACGTCAACCCACCAAACATAAAACCATTTTGTGCTAAAAAACAAACACACAAATAACAGTTCCAAAACGGAGATTAAAGAACATACCACGTTTAAACTATGAAACGGCTGGGAAACGCTTCGCCGACCCAGAGAACAAGATGAACCCGGAAACAGGGGAGCAGGGGAGGCAGCCGACGACGACGATGATAATGAAGAGAGTGAGGAAGACGACGACGGCGTTGGAGCTGGCATAACCAAAGACGCCATTTCCTTCTTTTTTTTCCTGTAAACAGAAAAGAGAGAAAAGCTTTTCCCCTTCGGAAAAAGGGGTTGGGGGAATTTGTATGGATGGATGGGAGGGTGGCGGGGCGGGAGTGGGGCTGTCGTCTTGCGTTCTTTTTTTTGCTGTTAATATTTCCAGCTTATTCAACAATATTGCAAGAGGATTTCGTTTCTGTGGGAACAGTTTGCTGCTGCCAAACGACACCGTTCCTCACGGAATATTGGTTGCATGTGGAAAAAAATATAGGTAAATAGTAGTAATAATTAACATATAGATCAAGGCAAATGATTATTGATTAAACAGGCTCCCTAAGATTTGGATTGTATTCCTTCTTTTAGCAGTTTAGTAAGTGATTATAGATTTTTTTTTTTAAGTGATTATAGATTTTTATCACATTTCCCATTACTTTTTGTATGATGAGGAATGATATTCATTCATGTATTTCACTTTTGTTGCATAGTCCGGGCAACTGTAATTAGGAATACAGTAAAAAGTCTTTAAATTAATAAGTTCTATTAAAAAATAATTTTTTCAGTATCAACTCGAAACTTATATAAAAATCAAGTACAATCGATAAATTAATTAATTTTAAAAAATTTCTTATATAAATAAAGGTTCGCCAAATATCATAAATTAATAATTATATAAAATACCAACAAAAAAAAAAACCTAACAAGGTTTAAGACAGTATAAACCAATTGAGCTTTGTTTTTTCTTTGAAATTTATATTTAAGAGGACTTTATCTTTGATTTTTTTCCCAACCAAGAAATAAAAATAATAAGATCATATATACATAGGGAAGCAGGGTTAAAGTTGAGTATTTCTTTTTCTAATAGAATTGAAAAGAAATTCATAAGTTAATAAAATATTAATTTATCGATGAAATAATAATTATTAATTTATCGATAAGATAATAATCTCAAGAATAAATGTTTGTAGAGCCAACACTATTAATTTATAAAGTTTTTACTATATCTCAATTTAAGTTGTAATTATTATTTATAATTTTTTTAACATACATCCCTTGATTAATATATCCAAATTATCCAATGTTGAAACATGTTTGATTCTAATTGATTTTGAAGCTCCAATAGCTGGTGAGTTTGTACGTAAAATATAGATAACTCACATTTTCAACATGTAAAGTTGTATAAAATGAAACTTGGTGTTAAGAAATTAGTTGAAATTTCAGTTAAATGAAACATGTTACGTGGAGATAAAGGGGATATCACCAACTCAAATTCGTTAAATTCATAAAAATATCTCCCATGTCTTCAATAAATAGTTTAGATTGAGTTTTTAAAGTTATATTATTTTTAGTGTATACAATAAATTTAAAATTCAGTGTGGATTTTTTTTTATTGACACCTTTTTTTTTTAATGACACCTCCTTTTTTTTTTCCCCTTAGAAGGAAAAGGATAAAATAGTTCTTTGTAACAAATCCAATCATGTGATTTGAATTTTAAAACTAATAGTAGTCATTTACTTACCTTTTCAATGATTTTAGTTATTATCTAATCACATGCTCGATTTCAACCGTGTATGCAAACGAAGTATGTAATATGTAACAATATTAAAATGTTACCTACCCTGTATATACTTTTAACAGGCAGCCAAAAGGGGTTTTCGTATGAATTCGTCCACGAACGTACTTGATGCCGTCTAAATTCGTCCCGTGTATATATATATATATATATATATATATATATATATATATATATATATATACAGCTTTCCAGAAGAATAAATCGACTTTGAACGAATTTTGAATAGAAGTTTGCCTTTGTAAGAAATGAGGTGAATTCTAAGACAAATCAAACTGCGCAATTTCTGTTCACACGGATGCATGAAACGAATGAAGGATAGAAATCCAAAGGAGTAGTAGTCAACCGGCCAAAAAGTTCAGTTTACAAATTCCGGGTCAAAATGATTCGTAAACGAGAAAATGACATTTATCTGCGCACTTCTGTTCGATTCCCACTTCTTCTCAACCATTAGTTGTTGTTGTCCGTATAACCAGAATCGTATTGCATTGTTGACGGTTGTCGTAAATCGCAAGTCCAAAAGGCACCAATAAGCTGATAGACGTACCACTTGTTATGCATCTTGCAAAATGTAACCTACAAAACAACGGCTGATATGTGGTAATTAGCATGTTTCCTTGATCCAGATGTACCCGAAAGTTGAAACGGACATAGAAAAACGGAAAAAAATACCACATTCAAGTTAATTCTCATTCAACTGCCCTCCCAGATGTCAAGGTCTTGTTGGTAAGATTCAAAGACGTAGGGTGGTTAAAGAATGATCCTGTTTTAATCAAGCAATCAGTTAAATCAGGGAGATCACAAAGATGTAGCCACCAGAGAAGGTTTTGGCCGGATTAGACAAAACCTGATTTCTGTTCTATGCGAGTCATAGCTTCTTTTCCTTTCATTGAATCGACATTGAAAACATGAACTAGAGTGTGCAACTTTGTATCAATATGATGAAGCCTTTACTATTTTCATACCAAACAAATGGATTACTGGAAAAGTTCACAGTTATTCTACTTTCATCGAGTACATAAATCCAAATCTTATGTCATCAACGACATGACAAAACCAATAGTTCACCACCCAATGGATGCAAATGGTGAGGTAGTTGCCTCACCATGTCTTTGATGACTCAGTATGAAGATTTTCCTTGCTCAGGTAGAAGAAACGTTAGGTGTTAAATTAAACATTTGTTCGGCACAAAGCTACCTTTTCAAAAAATGAAAAATTATTCTAGATTAAATATGAGTACCTCTACTTTCTATGATGCTACCAGAATAATCCCAAACTAGACGAAATAAAGCATGTTAAATTTCAAGGGGTTCCACCTTAGCATTTGGTCAGTCGATTGGTAAATGAAAAGCAGCACATCATCCATATGTGCAATTATTATACAAGAAATATCTCTTGCAATATAAATCTTATGTCAGGCATTATGACCAGGAAATATTGAAACTTTCACGAGAAAAGCAAGATTAAAAGATTTACATAAAGCAACGACCTAGAAAGCACTCATAAGCCCGGTTCTTGAACAAAATACAACTATACAAGTTAATGATTGATATTTTATGCTACACTCAAAGCTTAAAAAGTTCAGTAATGTGTTAGGCATACAACTTCTACATGATTTTGTCTGCCTGATACCCGAGGTTGGTCTTTTGGTTTACTTTCCTTTTCCTGATAATAAAAGTAGCAACAGTCATCAAAGAAGTGCAGAGTTCCAAGAATCACATTACTAGGATACAACTTTCACACAAGGAAGCCAAATTGGTTTCAGGTTTCACACACATAATGCCACAACAATCAGTAAGTGCCCGGCAATAAACTCAAATAGAACCGACAAGATTCAAGTCAATAGCAAACTCAAATTACATAAAATGAATTGATGTATAAGAAATGCAGGATTCATATTCATCACCTGTATTTTCTCATCGTTGATACTTTATCTTATCAGAGTGCTGTGGAGAGCCAGTGACTCCTAACTTGTTCTTGAAGATTTTACCTCTACCTGAAAAAATGAACTACAAATCACATCACCTTTGCGAACATAAGCATCTATAATATATCGTAAACAAAGCAAATAAATGCACCAAAAATTTTAGGGTTTTTGAAAAGAAACAACATTTTTTATTCATTATCAATGACTAAAGGATCAAAAACCAAACTCGAAATTATTTTCACGCAACCATTTCCAAGAATATCTTGTTCAATAAAGATGCTTTAGTTAAGCTCCAACATGTATATCAGAAACTGACTCAACTGATTGGTATTGATATAATTTTCTGATCTGTGTGTAGAAATTTTAATCTTATTCAAAGATGACATCAATCCTGACAACAAGGCTCTGATACTTAAGCTAGCCGAACTATTCTCCCATGATTAAACTGACCATGCATTGACATCATTGACTAGTGAGGGCATAGGGATACTCATTAGCTTACCCTGAAAACTTGGTGGCACCAATTGGATAAAAAGTGGTTTTAACTCAAAAGTTAATAGATGGAACAATGAATCTAGTGACGGGTAAAAACAATGGATCCAGTAATGCCAGGCCTAATAGCATCTTTGTAGGCTTAAAAATAACCTTAATTGTCAGTTATGGTATTAATTGCTAGTCTGGGTTCTTTTAGCTGTAGGTTTTAAACGCATATCATCACTACAATAAGCGCCCCGCCAATAGAGGAATGGAAAAAAATATTTAACAGTCTGCAGCTGTGCACTATTAAGTTACTAGCAAACTCAACAGTATAATATTTAACATCCTTTTCTTTCTTTCTTTTATTTTTTTTTTAAATAGAACTAAAAAGGGCAGTTTTATCTGTGCACTGAAATGCTCACGTCCGTCATATTAATATTATTAAATGTGTAAACTTAACCAAAGGAGAAAGGCATTGAAGTTTCACTTACCTCTTGATCAAGTTGAACTTTTGATATTGTTTTGAGCTGAGAGTTCTCCATATTTGATAGTAGCTGAGTTACTGTTTGTAGGTGTGGTATACTGCAAGAATGCGACTTGTAACTTAGTGATGACCTGATGCTATGCTACTCTTTGATGTTGGCACTGATTAACAAATCATAAATCATAAACAACAGCCAAGGCGATGGTAACAGAAATCAACCATAAATAGTTTTTGAGATTAAGTGCACATGCAAGTCACTAACTCCAAAACTCTATGCGACCAGAAAAAAGCGCGTTGCAAAGTTTTAAAAACCATTGGACATCAGAGCTATGATTCACCGTGAGGCAAAACCTCATCTTAAACTATAGTCCTTGTACGAGAACTTGATAAATGAAAGTCAACACGTCATTGTAAGTATAAGACAAAAAAAAAATCATTTCCTCATACCATCTACTTCCTTATTGGTTTAGCTCTCTTGTAGTGGTTACATCCAATCATCCACCATACATTTAGTCTTACATTATTCCCTAATTGATAACTGCTCAATGCATTAACTATGTATCAATCCAAAAATCGCAAGCGCCCAGAAAACCAAAAGATGATTACATTATCTAGCTAATTGGAGAAATCAGCCTAGAAACTGGGTGTTCACCCATGCCAACAAAAATAGGGGCAGCCAAACCCTGCAAAGAGAACTCATGTTGTAGTATACTGATCAAGAGATCCCAAAGGTCTTTGAATAAAAGTGGCTCCCTGATATGTATGAGTGAGAACTAGTCACAAGATGACTCAAAGGACTTCTTAAGTCCTTTCCTTTCTAAAACCTATGGAAAACTTATTCTCAAACGATTTCTCTGATAGGTTAAATTCTGGCAGAATTCTAAATAATAATGGTCACTTTTGAATAAGCAGAATAGATAGAGGAAACTTGATGTCCTCGTTCTGAGTCACAGGAGATAAATACTTCTAAATAAGATAGCCACTTCTGCAATATAATTTTGGCAGATACCACCTGATAAACTTCCTACCTTCTGAAAAATGGATCTTCATCATATCATTTCCTTCTAAACTACAGACAGGTTGTCCCTTCAATATACCAATTAATAATCAACTAGCAACATAGCGCGAAATAAAAACTATGCATTGTTAAAGAGGTTACAGAAGCAATTTTCCTGAAGCTTTGACCTTGGCAAACACTAAACTAAAGGAAACTCAGTTGGAATTTAAATGAAACCTCCACTTTGATGCTTTTGGAGAATATGAATAAATGAACACTAATTCGTGGATGTGAAATTCAGATATAGGAATATATTATATAACTGACCAATATCATCAACAACATCTCAGTCATCGAGGGAAAAAGGGGAAAAGCAGAACCCTATGCATAAGCTCGATTAAGCAATGAAAATAGAGAAGTATAGACCTCTGTAATGCACTATCCATATGAGCATCCAAAGATGAAATCACTTGAGGCATCTGCTCTAATAACTGAAAATTGGAACAACAGAAATTAGAATAAGAGGTTTTCATAAGGCTTCAGGCTTTGCAAGTTCAAAATTGCAGGAAGGGTAGGGTCAGCATACTGATTCCGTGTTTTTTATGGTAGCTGCCTTTGCCGAAAGGCTTCTTGGAAGTTTCATCAATTCAGCCTGCAGGGATCAATATATTTTTGATCAATGAATTTCCAAGCACACTTAAACGTGTATGTCTATATTCAACCAACTAGCTTACAAAACCATTTATAGGAGCATTTAACTTTTGCAACAGCAAACTACACTCAGGCTAAACATAATGAAATGATAAAAGACAACAAGGGTGAGTGTTGTCCCGAATAACCATAAATGCTGTTCTACGATGAACACAAGACACAACTTCCTCAGAATGAAACTACAACCAAAAAAAGTCGAATATAGTGCCTTGTTTGGTGAATAATCTTAAACCTTCCTCAGATGAAACTACAATCGAACAATCAAATACAGTGCCTCGTTTGGTGAACAATTTTAAACGATAGAAGAACCATGAGACATTTTACACATCTTCCTATCAGATACCCTGCTGATGGCTTCTACAAGTCCAAAGCATAGACAAAATTAGACCAGTATACTGAGGAGGGCGGCAAGACAGATGGCACCCAAATGCCACATTAGTATAGAAACAATCATCTACAAAGAGAATCCACGTAGAAATATATTATTGATTCTCACGAAACAGCATTCTTGCAAATGTTTATGATCAGTCTGAAAACCTCTAAATGCAATTGCCTTATAACCACCAATCAATGAAAGAACAGCAATCTAGAGGCACTGACTCTTAATGATTCGGAAAATAGATGGGCTTTGTCCCCTGAGCTGAATCACGAATTTGGCAAAACATCCCTCCTTTCAGAACAAATTAACCAATCTAGAACAACCCAGAGAGGAATCGCGGATTCGGAAGGTACCTGAGCAGGGGAAGACTGAAGCATGAGGTGGAGGAGGTTGGAGGTGGACTGGATGGCCTGTGAAATTTGATCAGCCGCCAAAGTTTTCGCCGACCCTTCTCTGCTGACACTGTTATTGTTGCCGGAAGAAGCTGCTGTGGATGTCGATGTTGCCATCTCGGTCTTCGATTTTGATGATGCCAACGTTTTCGCAGTTCGGATTCTTATATGGATTCTGCTGGCTCTTCTAATAATAACTCCATTTCGGTCTTCTTACAGTGTACGAAATTAACATGAAAAACTTTTTCTTATTATAAAATAAAGGACAGAACGCACTTTTGGTCCCTAAATTATGATGATCATAACTTCTAGTTACCATTAACTTTTTAATGACAAAATTTGTCATCATTTTTTCGTTTATTCAACAGTTTTAGTCAATTTAACGGTAAACTAAAGGTCAATTCTTTTCTCCGTTAAATTTTTTTATTTTTTTTTATTTTTTTACTGAACTGAGACCTGTAATATATTTTCAAACAAAAAAATCAGTCCTCTAATATCTTCCTTTTCAACAATTTTAGTCATTTCAACAGAATTTTCAAAAATTTAATGCCTCAATTCAATTTTCCTTTTAAGTCTTTATTTTTTATTGATTACTTAATGGATTGTGGGTGTCACAAGTCTTTGATCATATTTATTTTTATTTCAAACAATATAAATAAATTAAAAGAATAATGAATGTATTTCGACCCACTTCCTAAACCTCAATATAGTACTCTTGAACGTCTTACCGTTACCGCCTCGCCGGCAAAGTAGTCCAGAAAAGGAGTCTCGTTATTGATTGTTTTCATTGTCATTTTTTCTTTTTTGGAATTTATTTCTCGGAAAGTAAAATATTTAGGATTTAGGAAGTTGGTCAGAAATATTTTCATTATTCGTTTAATTTTTTTTTTAAAAAAAAAACATTCTGATCAAGGACCTGTCGAACCCACGATCCATTAAATAATCAATAAAAAATAAAGACTTAAAGAAAAATTTAATTGGGACATTAAATTTTTGAAAATTCTGTTAAGTGACTAAAATTATTGGAAAAAAAAAAGATATTAGGGGACTGATTTTGTTGTTTGAAAATACATTGCAGGTCCCAGTTCAGTAAAAAATTAATATAAATTAAAAAATTTAACAGAGAAAATAGTTGACCATTAGCTGACCATTAAATTGACTAAAATTGTTGAATAAACGAAAAGATGGTAACTAATGTTGTCAGTAAAAAATTAATGGTGACCAGAAGTTGTGACCCCCATAGTTTAGGGACCAAAAGTGGATTTTCTCCTAAAATAAATAAAAACTAGAAGGAAGAAATATGAGAGAGAGAGAGAAAGAGGATTCAAGTGTATCTTATGCAATAGAGATTGACCTCTATTTATAGGCAAGTAGATACAAAGATAAGATCAACGAATATAAGTTCTAACTATAATCGCTATACATGAAATCCTAATATAACTCTTCTATCTTATAGACAACCACATTATTAATATATTTATAACACTCCCTTTTGGATGTCCATTTCTTAGGATAATGTCTTGTTAAAACCTTTACTAGAAAAAAAAAACTAAGTAGGATAAAAATCTAATAAAGGAAAAAGAGTATATTTCCAGAAAATGTTGCCTCGTTAAAAACCTTGCTAGGAAAACCCATTGAGACAAAACCTCGATTAAGGGAAAAAGAGTACAGCGTGGGGCTACTCCCTCTGTTGAATACGTAACTCGTAATCTTCTCGCCACATGTCAATATGTTGACCAGGTTCACATTGAAGTCAATAATAGACGGATCACTTCGATTTCTCTGCAGACGGTCATCTTCATATACTGATGTAATCTTGAGTCCTTTATAACAACAAAGATCTATAACTAGCATACCAAGAAAGTATTTATATATACAATCCTCTAATGGCTTGGATAATAAATCGATACTTATAATTATTAGAATATGGTACTTCAGGACCAAATCGGTTTACATTTTATTAGAAGGCTATAAGAAGGATTTTGTGCACATTAGACCATAGTCTAGTGCATTCAACAGGTGTTAATTGTATATAAACTCATGCCAAACTACTATGACCAAGATTCTACCCAAAATCTTTCATTATTCTTGCTTCAGGTAAGTAGCAACCTTTTCAACTTAACTATCTTTTGAACTTCCATTTGAAGTTTTAATAATCGTAATAAACTCTTCAGGAGTTTTAATGATATTCAGGCTATCCAAACTCTGTAACGACTTTCAATAATATTTAGCCTTCTCACACTCTCTAAAAGTTTCGTGCTAACGAAATAGCGAAAATACATATCGTTTACGAAAAATTTATATCAATATTTCAAAATAACATGATCATAAAACACAAACAATCATCTTACAGACAAATGTAACGTATTGGAATAAGACATATAACGTAATGACCAAAATGTTCAAACAATATGCACCTAAATATTTGTTTAGACTCATGAAAATACTATAACTTGCGCAAGTCTTTCATATTATTTTCTCAAGAATCGGAACCATGTCCCTTATTGAATCCTTCAGGGATTTCATATAAATGTCATTTTCAAATGGCAAATATCAAGTATTGTTTCAAGTAATCACTATATTCACTAGACGCATTTTATTTCTTCATTTGCTGCCAGATTTAGCAAATAACTGAAGAATAAATATTTTCATCCACCACAAGAGAATTTATCCCGTTATTATTAACATCCGGACTTTGAGAAAACTGGTACAATAAGTCGGTTGCTCATTAATCATTTACACAATCACCCAACAACATTTAGCCGGAGTATTAATTTTCAAAAGTCTTATTGTTTCAAGCAATTCAAAGTGTGTGTACAACACACATCACTAAGTGTGTATTGTGTCTTTCCATGTATTATGGCCAATAAGTTTAATGTCTGTATCTACAACAGATTTTCATTTCATGATCCTCATTGTCATTCATTTTGCTAACTGCTGCAGCATAAGCAAATTTCATGTCAACATTTTGTTGCTGATCAATTCGATCTTTCTTTAATAATGAGATCTCAACAATCATTAAAGTTCCCAAGTGCTTTTATACTTCTTTTGGAAGTTGATTCATCATAGTGGGAAACTATTCAAATTTAAAGATTCTTATGAATTTTAATCACTCGTATTTTCCATCTATAAATTTAAATTTTGTCATTTACGAGAATTTTTATTATTGAAATCGATAGTTCTACCACTCATCAAATGGACATTTAACGAAAGAATAGTGGTAGATAGTTCTTCAGGGATATATTATCAAATTTTGAGTATTAACAGCCTTTATATAAGATATATTTACACATTCGGTCAGATAAACATCTGGTCTTAGATATTATCTCTTGAACTTCAGGTTCATATCATGGAGGATCTGATGAAATAATGATCTTGTCTATTTTATTTATAAATAGGTTGTTTTAACTTCTCCCCCTGATGTTGGGATAACTAACTCGCCAAAATGACGATTAACCAACCGAGCAGTTAATAATCTCCACTTTGAGAGTAACTAACTTGTCAAACTAATAGGATCAATTCATTGAATAGTTAATCCAACATCAATAATTTAAAAAATTAGAGATTCAGTATTCAACATGTATTTTTTACCTCTTCTGGAGGCTCCATCTTTGTGTGTACTATGGTAAAATAATTATAATATAAACTGCACATATAATATTTAAAGATGGATATGTATGGTTTCTGACTGAAAACTACAATTGGGGAGAATATCTGCAATGACCTGTTTGGTCTTATGCATATAATTGGTGCCTTTTATGTTTCAACATTTTCTCAATTATACATGAGGTAATTACTTTAATTGAACACATACAATAAACGATTCTACTAGACCACTTCATTATTGCTCGTATAGGCACTCGCTGTTGAACTTCTATCATTCTAATATTGAGTCATACACTCACCACAACTATCAAATCAAAATTCTTATAAGAGCAGAACATGAATATCTACATATTATCAAATGAACTCCATAATGAAGTTTTTGCAAACTTCAAGTTACAAGTTAACAATACATGTGTCTATCTCATCGACACATCGATTGATACTCTAATTTGTTGGAAGAAACTCTTAGTTCTGCAAATTTAAAACACATAAACTTCCTTGTTTCGTCTTCAAACCTGGATGGCTTAAGTAGTTATGCCAAATTTTAGAATTTTTCTTCTGGAGAAAACAATGAATTAATTGTTCAACTATACCATATCAGTTTTGCTTTACATGAGCGTTTACTTTGACATATTATCTACTCTACAAGAGTATTTGTTATTCAATTATTTCCATTCTACCACAAGTGTTCTTGATCTTCTGGAGCATACATATAATTTTATTGAGATATATAGTAACTAATACTCTACTAGAGCATTGGTTTTATCCAATTATATATGCTCTTATAGAGCATTCAATCAATTTAGTACCGGCTATAGTACTAACACGAGAATTTTTCATTAGGAGAAAACAACAATATTTCCGGTCTCTAAGTATAGAGTGAGGAGTTGCACTGTCTGCCAGACATAAGTCTTTGTCATCCATGACCTTTAAAAAATAAATAATTAAATAAAAATTTAAATAAAACATTATAAAAAAATTAAAGAAATGTAAGGATAACATATCATTTTTAAAAGTAATTAAGTTCCTAAAAGACGATGCCTCATTAAAACCTCTCTTAGGGAAAAAACCAATGGAAAAAAAACCTAACAAAAGAAAAAGAGTGCATTTTCATTATTAATTTATCCTTGGACATTCCCATGTTCAGATGCACCTTCTCGGTAACTACCAAAGAAATCTGCAACATCTAAAAATGTGCAATCCCGTCGTACTAGAAAGGCCTAATTTAGCTAAAGAGTCCGTAACTTCGTCGCCATTTCGTTTGATACGTGAAATATCTACTTACCAATCATGGTTGATTAAGGACCTGATTCGCAAAAGAATGTTACTGGAGCCAAAGGAAGAGCTCTCATCAGTTAACGTATTGACTACAGCTGTGCTATCCATCAGCAATTGAATTTTCCTGAAGCCTAGTTGCCAAACGATTCTTAAGCCAAAAAAAGCTCCCCAATAGTTTGCTTTTCCCTCTTTTAATAGTTTTATTTTTTCTGTTGTACAAAGAAGGTGTCACG